TATTGCCATAGCAGTTGAGTGTTTTTCCTAAAGCCATACTAATTTTGAATAAACATGTTTACTTTTTGTAAAAAGCTATCCAGCCACATTGCAAATACTTTTTTCAAGATTTTTGAAGACTGTGGCAGCAAAAGTTTTCATACTTGTCGGTTGGAAAGCGACTCCTCCACGGCCGTTTCACCGATTCGTCTCAAAATTGTTCCACATCATCTCAACACATGTACCTTCAAAATGACCTCAGGGAATGATTTCACATAAAACGTTGTTTAAGCAGCGGAGCGCTAAAAAGTGCCTTTTTTTCAGATTTCACAATAGAAAAATTGCTTCCGTTTGCTCAAACAAAGTCTGATTTACACAAAACTTGAATCCATGGTTCAACTCTTGGGTCTAGGTCATTTGAAATTTAAAATTTTGAAATTGGCTCTATAGCGCCACCTACAACAGCCAATTTAAAAATGCCTATGGGAGGGGTTTGAGGTGAACATTGTTGTAGAACCATGTAATTTGGAACACATGTTCCTCAAGTCAAGACATGGAAAAAATATTATTATGGCTAAGCCCTTTGACAAACAGGAAGCCCATAAATTTCATTGCAAAATGAAAAAATGAAAAGCAAATATTTTCATACATGTTGGTTGGAAAGCGACTCCTCCTCGGCCGTTTCACCGATTCGCCACAAAATCGCTCCACATCATCTCAACACATTTACCTTCAAAATGACTTCAGGGAATTTTGATCAGTGAAACATTGTTTGAGCAGCCGAGCGGCAAAATGTGAGGTTTTTTTTGGCCGTCTTTGACAACATACATTTTTGTCCCGTTTGCACAAACAAAGTCTGATTTGCATTAAACTTGAATCCATTGTTCAACTCCTGGGTTTAGGTCAGGTGAAAGTGAAATATTTGAAATTGGCCCATTAGCGCCCCCTACAGACTGAGTCAAAGTTTACATGGGCAGCCAAACCAGCTCTACCTATTATATTCATTACAATTTGACTAACATTCTTCCATGGCTACGAGAACAAATCATCACACGGCGGTGCTGCGTAGTACGGTGTGGTGCGGCGTATGCGGGGCGTTGTGGAGCAGCGCGTTGCGGCTTGGTGCAGGGCAGCGTCATGCGGGACGGCGTGTTGCAGGGCGGCGTGGTGCGGGGCGGCTTGGTGCGGGGCAGCTTGGTGCGGGGCGGCTTGGTGCGGGGCGGCTTGGTGCGGGGCGGCGTGACACGGGGTGGTGTGCGCGGTGCGGCGAGGGCCGTTCGACGCCGCTTGGGGCTTTAATTAATTTTGTGTTCCCTAATATGAGACTACAAATTTGAAATTGTAGGGGGCGCAATTGTAGTTCAATAAAGCCACCGTTTGCACATACAAAGTCCGATTTGCACCAAATTTGAATCGGTTGTTCAACTTTTGGGTTTGTTAACCTGAAAGTGTAAAACATCAAATTGCAGCATTAGCGCCCCCTACAGAATGTCATTTTCACACATGTTGGTTGGAAAGCGACTCCTCCTCAGCCGTTTCACCAATTTGCCTTAAAATTGCTCCACATCGTCTAAAAACATGTGCCATCATTTTGATTTCAGCAAATTTTGATCAGTGAAACGTTGTTTGAGCAACGAAGCGCCAAAAAGTGGCGGTTTTTTTTCAGTTTTTGACAATAGAAAAATTACTTCCGTTTACTCAAACAAAGTCCGATTTGCACAACACTTTTTTCCATGGTTAAACTCTAGGGTGTAGGTCATTTGAATGTGAAATAATTAAAATGCCAGAACAGCGCCCCCTACAACAGCCAATTTAATACTCCTATGAGAGTTTTGGAGGTCAAGTTTGTCGTAGAGCCATGAAATTTGGTACACATATTCCACAAGGTAAGACATGATTTTTTATTGCAAAGGAAGGTTTCTCACCCATCATCTGTACTTCTTAGCAAGTTTTCCCGAGGTTTCGTCCTCAAACTAGCGGACTTCTTCAGGGAATGAATTCTCGGACCGCGCGTTGGAGATTTATAACCTATGGGTGTGGTAAGCCACACCCTAATCCTGATACTAACTCGTAAACAATCTCAGGTCTGCTTGATGTAGAAGGGAGCAGGTCTAACGACCCTGCTGAGGCTAACGACCCTAACTCCTTAGCATGTCACAGACCTATTGTCTGCTGGGATGCTCAAGTGGAGTGCAGGTCTCACCCCTCCTAACTCATTAGCATGTCACTGACCTATTGTCTGCTGGGATGCTCACGTGGAGTGCAGGTTTCACCCCTCCTAACTCATTAGCATGTCACTGACCTTGTCCCAAGTTAGGGCGTTGTTTTTAGGATGTCGTCATAGATGCGAGGCAAAACAAATCTTAACCCTTTAGGCGCCAGAGTTTTTTCAAGAAAATATACAATTTTGATTTCAAGATTTCAAAAGGCTATAACTTTAAAATGGTTTGAGATAAAGGCATACTGTAAATTAGAAATATCTTCAGTTTGAACCAAACTTTGGGATGGAAGTTGATTCGTCATCTAATTTGCATATTGTGACGTCATAAAGGTGGCAGCCATTTTGGAAAATGTTAATTATTGTATAAAGACTTCAAAAAGCTGTAGCTTGGGAGTTATTTGAGATCAGGGAATACTATAAACAGTCAGTGTGAAATATCTTTAGTATGAAATGAATTTGAGATAGAAATAAATTCCCTGATCCAGATTATAGATAATGTTTTAGCACTGGTTCGTGGCCATATGGAATTGTATTATTTTCAAAGACCTTCAGTGATCAAGACAGCACTCTTTATAGTTTACAGTCATGAAATCTGGAAATTGGTTTCAATATTTCCCTTTCAAAGAAGTGGTGGGCATACTATTTTTCTCAGTGGAAATGAGGCTCCAGGATTTATCGTTTAGAAACATAGAGATGAAATGAATGGGCACAGAACATGTCAGATCGTCTCAACAATAAAAAACAGGCTCTTCAACACTTCTGATCCACTTTTGTGGATTATTTTCTCTCAAGAACTGCCTTGATCCTCATCATCACTGTTGGTAAAGGCAGTGAACGCGAAAAGCGATGTGCTTTTTCCCGCGGCTTCTCCCGCGTTTCCCGTGTTCCCCGTGGATGTCTACCCCCGCTACTTTCTCCCACATGCCCGGTGTTATGATCCCCCTGTCCCCTCGACCACGACCCCTGCTTGGCGTTCACAGAATGCTTCTACCGCGGCCACACGGAGGACAAGCAGCCGCTGTACATGGGCTGATTGTGGACTATGGAGCGCTGTCTCCCCGTCACCAATAATGTCCGTGTCTGCTTCACTGGACACCTGTGTGTCTTCTTCCTCTGAATCTGAGTGAGCCAGTACCAGACCAAGTACTTCTCTGGTACTGAAGACCTCGTGAGTAAAATAAAAAACACTCTCTCCATCTGCTCTGCTCTCGCTCCTCTCAGCTCTACCGCTGCTGCTTAGTCTCCGCGCTGCTGCGCCGCAGGTGTTTTACGAACTCAATTTACTCAAAAACTTTCAATATAACCACACCCACAAATGTTGCTCATATTACAGGCACACATGTCCACTAACCCCTGGTGAAAAGTATTAACAAGATTCTGCACCACATTTTTACATACAGCCTGTTTAAGTGAGCAATGTTGCTTGTCGCAATATTGCGACTTTGGCGCTTAAAGGGTTAACCCTCCTCCTCTGTTAAGAGAAGGTTTTTGTTTCCTCACAAAAATGGCTTCTTTCACCCCTCTCTCAAACCAATTCTTCTCCCGAGCCAGAATTTTAACCTCTGTGTCATCCACCGTGTGGTTGGAGGCCTTGAGGTGGAGATGAACAGCCGACTGTGGCCCACTAGAGTTTTCTCTACAATGTTGGTAAAGTCGTTTCTGTAGAGTTTGTTTGGTTTCTCCAATATAGTGGTCAGTGCACTCCTCTTCACTACATTTAATTGAATACACCACATTGCTCTGTTTGTGTCTGGGTGTTTTGTCTTTGGGATGCACTAATTTCTGTCTTAACGTGTTGAAAGGTTTGAAATACACAGGGATTTTGTGTTGCCTAAAGATTCTTTGTAGTTTCTCTGAAACTCCCGCCACATACGGTAGGGACACCCCTCTCCTCCTACTTTCTTCTGTCTGTTGGACTGTGTCTCTGGCCTTTCTCGTCCTTTGGGCTTTAGTAAAAGACCACTTGGGGTAGCCACATCTGGAAAGTGCTCTCTGAACATGTTTGGTTTCTCTGTTCTTTCCCTCCGAGCTAGTGGGGACCTGGTGGGCTCGGTGTTGAAGCGTTCTAATGACCCAGAGTTTGTGTTGTAGCGGATGATTTGAATCAAAGGCCAAGTACTGGTCAGTGTGAGTGGACTTTCTGAAGACCTCAGTCTCTAATAGTCCGTTCTCTAGTATGATGACCTTACAATCTAGAAAGGCAAGTTCACTCTCCTTAGCATCCTCGCGAGTGAAATTTATAAAAGGGTCCACCGAATTAATGTGTTCTGAAAATGGTTCCACTTCCTGTTTCTTTAACTTAACCCATGTATCGTCTACATATCGAAACCAATGGCTTGGCGCTGTCCCTTGGTAAGAGCCCAGGGCTTGTTCCTCCAGTTTCTCCATATACAGATTGGCCACTATAGGAGAGACTGGGGAGCCCATCGCACAGCCATGAATCTGTCTAAAGAAGGTGCCTCTAAAGGTGATTTTTTATTATTATGGCCCTGCCCTCTGACAAACAGGGAGCCCATAAATTTCACTGCAAAATGGATAAATGAACAGCAATAATTTTCACACATGTCGTTTGGAAAGAGACTCCTCCTCGGCCGTTTCACAGATTCGCCTGAAAATCGCTCCAGATTATCTCAACACATGTACCTTCAAAATGACTTCAGGGAATTTTTTATCAGTGAAACAATGTTTGAGCATCGGAGCGGCAAATAGTGACCTTTTTTGACGATATAAAAATAGTTCTCGTTTGAACAAACAAAGTTTGATTTGTACTAAACTCGACCCGGTTGTTCTACTCCTGGGCCTAGGTCACCTGAAAGTGTGTACAATATTACATTGGCTCTTTAGCGCCCCCTACATACCGAGCTAAAGCTTTACATGGGGAGCCACACCGACGGATCAATTTCACAAACATTGTTCTATGGCTATGGTAGCAAATCGTGGCGCGGCGGCGCCGCCACCTGCGGAGCGGTGAGTCACGCGGGGAGTCACGGGGAGGGGAATCGCGGGTTGAGGCGAGTTGCGCAGTGCGGGGAGTCGTAGCAGTGCGGGGAGTCGTAGTGGTGCGGGGAGTCATAGCGGAGGGGGTAGTCATAGCGGAGGGGGTAGTCGTAGCGGCACGCAGTGCGGGGAGTCGTAGCGGCACGCAGTGCGGGGAGTCGTAGCGGAGCGCGGTGCGGGGAGGCGGAGCGCGGTGCGGGGAGTCGTAGCGGTGCGGGGAGTCGCAGCGGAGCGGGGAGTCGTAGCGGTGCGGGGAGTCGCAGCGGAGCGGGGAGTCATAGCGGTGCGGGGAGTCGCAGCGGAGCGGGGAGTCGTAGCGGTGCGGGGAGTCGCAGCGGTGCGGGGAGCCGTAGCGGAGCGGGCAGTCGTAGCGGCACGGAGCGCGGTGCGGGGAGTCGCAGCGGAGCGGGGAGTCATAGCGGTGCGGGGAGCCGTAGCGGAGCGGGCAGTCGTAGCGGCACGGAGCGCGGTGCGGGGAGTCGCAGCGGAGCGGGGAGTCGCAGCGGAGCGGGGAGTCGTAGCGGTGCGGGGAGTCGCAGCGGAACGGGGAGTCGTAGCGGTGCGGGGAGCCGTAGCGGAGCGGGCAGTCGTAGCGGAGCGCGGTGCGGGGAGTCGCAGCGGAGCGCGGTGCGGGGAGTCGTAGCGGAGCAGGGAGTCGCGAGGGCCGTTCGACGCCGCTTGCGGCTTTAATTTCTCCTTACTTTTGGCTGCATGATGGTAAATGGTGCAACCTGCAGTTTTTGGACCCTAAAAACCTGGAGGGATTCTGTGATTTTTGCAACAGTGCAAAGATGTTACATTTTTCAACTGAGTCCAAATTTCTAAGGCTTTTCTTACACACAGATCATCTCAGAACAACATTGCATATTTACAAGCTCAGTAAAAACACACCCTTAAGGACAGGGCTGGACTGGCCATCGGGTGTACCGGGCAATGCCCGAAGGGCCGATGCCCACATTTGGGCCGGTCTGTCTGCCTCATACAAAAAACATGTTTGTGAAAAGTGTAAATCCGTTGAGAAATGTTTGAGGGGAGCGCGCGTGTCCGCGGGGCACCTGCTGTATGTACTTGAACGGGATTCCACCACCTCAGCGGCCGCAGTGTTCCCGCATCCATCGGCTCTGAGCTGGACGCAGGAACCGCTCACAACACAACACGGTGAGCGCGTAGCCGCAGCGTGACCATACCCAAGACCATAAACGCGCACAGGACCATGCATCTTTTCGTAATTTGTGCACCCAATAAATACACCGCTGCAGGAAACAGTCCGCGTCTCCCCTCTCCTATAAATTAAAGCTTGGGTACCTACATTTTCCATTGCGTTAAAAGTTCATGTTTGAGCCCAAAAGTAAAATGTTGTGAACAGATTAAACAGATTTAGAGCCAGCTAATGGCTGACAATATGAATTTCAGAAATGTTTACCTGTAACAAACAATAGTATTGTCTGTGTCCATCTCCCTCACTCTGAGACATGTTTATTACTCTGTTTAATGTAGACTATTGTACTTTATTTTATTGTTGAAACTGCAGACATCCTGATCCTCTACAGTATTTGCTTCCACATACTGTATAAACCAGGGGTCAGCAACCTTTAGTGCCCCTAAAGTGGCTCCTGGAGCCTTTTCAAAAATGTCTGAAAATGTGAGGGCTATCTTTTATTTCTATTTTCAATGTGGTTTCTGTAGGAGGAAAAACATTCTTGACGTTTTTCAATGCTGCAAAAACTTATATAAGTAATATTCAATTTTAGCATTTCTGTACGTAGTGCGTCATATCCTGTGACGCGGCCCGCGCCAGGCGGCTGCTGCTGTAAACAAACCGGCGTGTGTGCATTGTGTGCGCATGGACCCCAGAGATAAAAGAGAGAGTCAATAAGACTGGACTAAGAATGAGAATGAACATTTGCTTTCAGTCAATGAGGAAGGACTGCTTCATGTTTGCGATGTAATGAGAAGTTTTGTTGAAACACGAGGAACAATGAAGCTTTTAACACTGTTCACTGAAAGATTCATTCATCATAAAGTCAGAGCACCTATTTTCAGACTTCAAATACCTTCGCAAAGACGGTGAAAGAAAAGGCCATTAAGGACATTCAGCTCCAGCAAACTTCAGCCTGTGATGTGATCAGTATGAACAGACAGTGATGCAGGTGAACTCGGAGCCAAAAAGCAGATGCATTTACTGTATTTGTACAATTGCAAGAAGGCAAAAAAATTGAAGTTAAACTTAAAGCAGAGTTGTCACGTGGTTCGTCATTCTCTCCAGGACACGCTGCAATGAAAATACACATTTGATAATCATGAATGATTTTTATGTGTATTTTGAGTCCTTTACTTTTTACTTTGTACACTCACGATTGTGTGTCCTCCTCTGACTCAAACTTGATCATCAAATATGCTGATGACACCACCATCATCGGTCTCATCAGTAACAATGATGAATCTTCTTATAGAGCAGAGATACAAAATGTGGTTCAGTGGAGTAAAACTAACAACCTCCAGCTGAACGTATCGAAAACATGTGAACTGGTCTACGACTTCAGTCGCAATAGTTCTCATTTGCCTGTCGTAATCGACAACTCCCAGGTGCAGATCGTAGAGGAGTGCAAGTTTCTGGGTTTAACTCTGTCTAACGACCTGAAATGGGTTAAAAACACTGACCGAGTCGTTAAGAAAGCTCGTCAGCGTCTCTACTTTCTGCGTAAACTTAGAGAATTTACCACTAACTCTAAGATTCTGCTTAACTTTTATCGCTGCCCCATTGAGAGTTTACAATACAATACAATACAATACAATTTATTCTTGAATAGCCCTAGGTCACAACAGAAGTCATCTCAGAGGACTTAACAAAACCATTGAAATCACCAACACAGGTCAGAGAATCAACAGTTAAAACACATGAAGAATATAAAGCACACACAGAAGAAAATGTCCATACATGTTGTAGAATGCTAAAGTGTCCTGATCATCACCAATCCTTTCTGTTGGACACTAACTGTCCAACAAGACCCTCCTGCATCGACAAGGAAAAACTCTTAAAAAACCCAGTGGGAAAAAGTGAGAAACCTTTACTTTTTGGTTCTGTGTCTGTGTGGTTTGGAAACATCACAGATAAAGAAAAGAGAGCTTTAAACAAGGTGCTCCGCTCTGCAAAGAGGACCGTGGGCTGTGAGCTTCCTGTTCTGGAGGTTCTTTATAAATCCAGACTTTTAAACAAAGCTCTTAGGATTGTTAATGACTCTTCTGGCCACCCTGGGAAAGCCATGTTCCAGCTTCTTCCCTCTGGCAGAAGATATCGCTCTCTGAGATGCAGGACATCTCGTTACGCTAACAGTTTTTATCCACAAGCTGTTATCAGTGTGAACAGAGCACTTTAATGATTTGCACTTGTTTTGAAACTGTTTTAGTCGATCGATTTCACAGTGACATTTGTTTACTGTTTTATTTGTTTTTTTTGTCTTTTAATGTTGTTTTATGTCTGTATTTGTCTGTGCACACTGGAGACTTTTGCTAATGTATTCCAATGAGGTTTTTTTACTGCAAATGGCAAATAAACTGAATCTGCATCTGGTTTTTATGTGTTTGTAGCCTTTACTTTGTCATTTAGATATTAGGCTAATATAGCTAATGTAGCTAAGGTAGCTAATGTAGCTAATACAGCTTCAGCCCCTGTTACCTTCATATAAGCCTTATACAAGCTGTTTTTAGTTTTTTGTCAAATATGGCTTCTTGAACCATTTGAGTTGCCGGGGCCGCTAAAAAGGAAAAAATGCCCGGGCCGTTTTTTTGTCCCAGTCCAGCCCTGCTTAAGGACAACAACCTTTTCAAATAGACAGCTCGTACTGTTTCTTACAAGGACCAAGCTGATGTTACCGACAGCTATGGAGATATAAATTCCCTTCAACTTAACTATTTTATTTATATATCAGAAATATAAAATATAACTATTTTATTTGAAAATCAGCTTGACTTAAAAATGAGTACCTATTTTTCCCCCCATAAATCATGTTGTTTGTCCCAATAGAAAGAATATAAAATGTTGCAAACATGTCACCTTTTGCATATACTTTATACTTTTTACTATACTAAATGGTGGTCCCTAACAGATTTTTCTAAATATAGTTAATGGTTTTGTAGTTTTAAAGTTAGGTATGCCAGCTTTAAGTAAAAAAAAATCATTTGTCAATCCAACTGAGAATAAAGCAGACTTTTAAAAAAGTTGAGCAGCCATCAGATTCCTATCACGTCACATAACTTTCACCATAGAATTGAAATGTAGCTTTGTATGTATGGGTGCGTTCAGGACGACATTGTGCTTAAACCTTTGGAAGTTTAGATTAGTTGGTTCGGTGTTGAAGTGACAAGCCGTGCACATTTACTTTTCAACGGCATGAGCTCTTGTCCGGGGGTCATGAAATTTTAATACACCGGGTAATGTCAGCACATAATTAGAAAAAAGGGAAGGGGCAAGATTGGATTTGTGCAGCACTGCCAATGTTCCTGTGAAGGCAGCTTATAGGGCAATCGATACAGCCAACATTAACAATTCTCTCCAAAAGCTTGCCTGGAGAAGTTCAATTAACGATGAATGCCAGATAGGTTTTCTACTTTCAAAGTTTGTCTGGATTTGCACCTTTTCAGTGGGTTCCGTTTTTTAATCATCTGAATTGAATTTGAGAGAGGTGCTAGTGGCATCAACTAATCGTTTTATTTTGCCATTTCAAATCACAGAAGAGACGGAAAGACTTTGAATTGGGGATTTCTCATGTGGGTTGAGAACGCCAGGAGAGACATTCAGCAAATTGATTTTATTATGATGTGGTAGTTGTTTCGTTTCTTTTTTCGTTCAAAGTCATATTTTGTTTTGAAATGATGCCTCAGGTTGTTTGCGACACTTTAAGTAATGAATGAATGTTATGAAAAATGCTGCTTGATGCTGTATAAATAAAGACCGCATATCAATCAGAAAAGCACATTGATTTAAAGACAGAATAGACATATTTTGTCAAACCTTTGAGTTTATGTTTTAACTTTCATATAATATCGTTGTATCCTCTGGTGACATAACATTAGATCCATCTATTTTCTTCTGTTGCAGGGGCACAGGGCAGTCTGAGCAGAATCGCACAGACTTCCCTATGCACACACCTCCTCCATCATTCTTTTGAATGCAATGGACAACGGCAGTAGGTCCTAAGTAGCTCTGAAACAGTTCTTGTTTTATGCTTTACAACTTTTATTTGTATTGCTTTTTTTCTACCTGAGATGTTGCTGCAGTACAGTGTTCATGGTCTTGCACTGGTCCAGACGGGAGCGGAGATGATTCATGGTTCAAACCAAGCGGATCAGGCGAAAATCCACCGAAGGAATGCTAACTTTTTGAAAAATGCTAAGGAAGTATTTAGCATTTTACTTTGGACTGGAGCAGAGAAAATGGTCCGAACCAAGCAGCTACTCCACCTTGTGACCCGTCCTGCTCCACCCAGAGGCTACTCCACCTCTGCTGCTGTGACCTGAAGGGCTGTTGCTGATTATTACTATTGTTAGCTTTTTGGAATGATCAATTTTTTGTTGTTTTGTTTTTTTTTTTGCTACTGGACACCTGGGGATCAATAAAGTATCTATCTATCTATCCAGGGGAATCCTGAGGCGTTCCCAGGCCAGCTTTCTTGGGCCTTCCCTATGGGATTTCCTCACAGTTGCACATGCCCGGAACCCCTCTCCAGGGAGGCATCCAAGAAGCATCAGAAACAGATGCCGGAGTGACCTCAACTGGCTTCTCTCAACATGGAGAAGCAGCGGCTCTACTGCACTTCTTATTCACTTGACTTTCACAACTTATCTCTAAAGGAGTGCCCATCCGACATTTCCATTGGAGTTCGGATTACAGCTAGAAGCAACACAATGGCCGGTGGCAAAAAAAAGAGCCACAATGTTCTCTGGAGTGTCCTCAGGGATTTGGTGAATGTCACACCTCACTCTTTTCCAGCCAAAAATCTTAAAACAGGACAAAAGGTTGCGTAGATGTTCCGGAGCTCCAGAGTTCTATTTCAGAATTTTGGAGAGGTGCCAATACATCTCTATGGGAAAGAAGTATTTATTAAAGCAATGTTGACAAAGAAAATGCATAAATGTTTTCCTAAAATTTCAGTTGGTTGGGATATCAATTCATTCGTATGATTTTTATTTATATTCTGTCAAAACATCTAGACAACATCATTTGACCATAGATGAAATTAACTGTAGTCTTTCTATAAATGGATTTGTCCAGGAATTACAGAGAAATTAGCTATTAGAAATCTGAGTTTTGACAAATACTGTACTAGATACCAGGACAGATTTTTCATCTGCTCTCCACCTCAATTTAATACTTTCAGCTCGTGGAATCTTGCAACGTCACATAAACGCAATGTCAAAACAGACTCAGCACAGGAGGCTATCAGACTCAGCACAGGAGACCCAACTGCGTTGCTCAGTTTCTTTTATTTTCGTGGTCAGAAATCAGGATCGTTAACATAAAATTCCCACAGAGTCTGCACATGGACAAAGAACAAAAAGAAAGTCAGTCAAAACTGAAAAACATACAAGAACAAACTGATATGATTACCTGCACATGGACAAAGACAATCTGACAGAGACAATGGGGAAGATACAGGCTTATATACACAGAGGGGAGGGCAAGGACACAGGTGTCACACATCAGGGGCGAGGCAGGTAATCACATAGGTGGGGAAACAGGGAAGAGCAGGAAGGAAGTCTAACGAGAAACAAATTTCAAAATAAAACAGCTTTACATCACAGAATACAACTTAAAGGTATACAAGAGGATTTTCTACTTCCGGGTGGATCATCAACACTATTGGTCCTCCCAAATGTCAATCATTCTGTTTATACGTCCTTGTCCTATAAGAGCAGAGAGTTTTGTTCAAAAAGTAGAAAGGGCGGTTCTTTCCTAAAATATGGGAAAATCCTCCTTTATACCTTTAACCAGACATGACAGTACCCCCCTCCTAGGGCCGACTCCAGACGGCCCAGGCTGGGCAGAGTTGTTTATGTGGAAATCCCGTATAAGGTCAGGGTCAAGAATGTTCTTAGCAGAAACCCAACACCGCTCCTCAGGGCCATACCCCTCCCAGTCAACGAGATACTGTCGTCCCCGTCCCCGCTGCCTCACAGCCAGCAGCTTCCTGACAGTATATGCTGTGCCACCATCAATCAACTGGGGGGGGGGGGGGGGGGGGGCTTGACCTTCGGTACGAGGGTACTTTCCACATACGGCTTGACACGACTCACATGGAACGTCGGGTGAACTCTCAGAGATTTAGGAAGCTTCAAACGTACAGCCACTGGATTCACGACCCGTGAGATGGGAAAGGGACCCATGAACTTCGGAGCCATCTTGCGCGATTCCGCCTTCAGTGGGATGTCCCGAGTAGAGAGCCAGACTCTCTGTCCAACCTGGTAAGCAGGAGCGGAGCTGCGGCGACGGTCAGCAGCCTTCTTGTAGGACTCAGAACAGCGGAGAAGCATTTGACGAGCCCGCAACCAACTCCGACGACAACGTCTCACCAAAGCCATGGCTGAGGGGACAGTAACCTCCTTCGCTAGAGCAGGAAACAATGGCGGGTGATATCCATATACGCACTCGAAGGGGGTGAGACCTGTAGACGAAAAAGGTAGGGTGTTATGGGCGTATTCTATCCATACCAGTTGTCTGTTCCATGAAGTCGGATTCTGGGAGGCAATACATCGCAGGCCACACTCCAGCTCCTGGTTTAGGCGCTCAGACTGTCCATTGGACTGCGGATGGTAACCAGACGACAAGCTCGCCGTTGCTCCCAGCAAGGTGCAAAACTCCTTCCAGAAGGAGGAGACAAACTGCGGGCCCCGGTCCGAAACGACATCCCTGGGAAGACCATGAAGACGAAAAACCTGTGCCAACACTATCTCAGCAGTCTCTTTAGCTGAAGGAAGCTTGGCCAGGGGAACAAAGTGAACCATCTTGGAGAAACGATCAACCACAGTAAGAATCACACTGTTACCTTCAGAGAGTGGTAAGCCAGTGACGAAATCTAGAGAGATGTCCGACCATGGTCTGTGAGGCACTGGGAGTGGATGGAGCTGACCAGGTGGAGCATGACGTGGGGTCTTGTTTTGGGCACAAATAGAACATCCCGCCACGTAATCCCTAACGTCATTCTCCATAGCTGGCCACCAAAAGCGCTGCTTGACCACAAACAAAGTCCTCCTGACCCCCGGATGACAGAACATAGGAGAACTGTGGCTCCAATGGATAACACACGGGAACGTAGGGGGGTAGGTACAAACAGTCGATTTGGGGGGCATCCAGCAGGAACTTGCACCGTAGACTGGGACTTCTTGACCTCCTCCTCGACCTCCCAGATGACAGCGCCAATCAAGCATGAGGGAGGCAGAATGGAGGTTGGAACCTTAGGAGCCATCTCAGGGTCAGAGAGCCGGGACAGGGAATCGGGTTTCACATTCTTTGAGCCTGGGCAGTAAGACACAGAAAAATTGAATCTACTAAAAAACAAGGCCCACCTGGCTTGACGGGAGTTCAGTCTCTTGGCGGCCCTCAGATACTCCAAGTTCTTGTGGTCCGTCCACACCAGGAATGGCAGCTCTGCCCCTTCTAAACAATGCCGCCACTCCTCGAGAGCAACCTTAATAGCCAGCAGCTCACGATTCCCGACATCATAATTCCTTTCAGCGGCCGTTAACTTCTTGGACAGGAAAGCGCAAGGGTGGAGCCGACCATCCTTCCTTGACCTCTGGGACAAAACAGCCCCTACGCCGACCTCAGACGCATCCACCTCTACCACAAACTGAAGCTGGAGATCGGGTTGTACAAGGACAGGGGCCGTGGTAAAGAGCCTCCGCAACCGCTTGAAGGCGTGATCAGCCTGGGGTGTCCACTGAAACCTGGTCTTGACAGAAGTGAGGGCATGCAGAGGGGCAGCAACAGTACTGAAGTCTCTAATGAATTTCCTATAGAAATTTGCAAAACCAAGGAAGCGTTGTACCCGCTTGCGGGACTCGGGTGTGGGCCACTCAGCGACAGCCTGGATCTTCACCGGGTCCATCTTGAGCTCGCCCTCTGCAACGATGTAGCCCAGAAATGATACCGTTCGCACATGGAATTCACATTTCTCAGCTTTGACGAAAAGCTTGTTTTCCCAGAAGTCTCCGCAACACTCTCCTAACGTGCTGGATATGGGTGTTCTCATCAGGGGAAAAGATGAGAATATCATCCAGATACACGAAAACAAAAATATTCAACATATCGCGAAGGACATCGTTCACCAGAGATTGAAAAACAGCTGGCGCATTAGTTAACCCAAAAGGCATCACTAGATACTCATAATGTCCTGTGGGGGTGTTAAAGGCCGTTTTCCACTCATCCCCTTCCCTTATTCTGACGAGATGGTATGCATTACGAAGATCGAGCTTTGTGAAAATCGTAGAGTCTCTCAACAGTTCAAAGGCAGTAGAAATTAACAGAAGAGGGTACCTGTTCTTCACGGTGATCGCATTAAGTCCACGGTAGTCGATACAGGGCCTCAGCGTCTTGTCCTTCTTTCCAACAAAAAAGAAACCCGCCCCAGCTGGAGAGGAAGATGGACGGATTATACCAGCAGCGAGTGACTTCTCGATATAATCCTCCATGGTCCGGGTCTCAGGTCCCGATAAAGAGTACAGCCGACCCTTAGGCAGAGTGGAACCAGGGAAAATGTCAATGGCGCAATCATAGGACCGGTGCGGGGGCAAGGAGGTGGCCCTAGCCTTGTTAAAAACCTCCTTCAGATCCATATAACAAGGTGGAACATGGGAGATATCAGGAAAATCAGATTCCGGACCAGTCTTGGACGCAGAGAGAACGGCCTCAGGTAAGTCGAAACACTTCTTGGAGCACTCCACCCCCCAGGAAGAGACCCTCCCTTGTGACCAGTTGATGACCGGATTGTGCAACTCAAGCCATGGGTATCCCAAAACCAGTCTGTGCTGACCAGATTTGAACAGAAAAAACCCTAAACTTTCAGTGTGCTGATCGGGAAATGTAATCCTTACCGGCTCTGTATAGTGGGTCACTTTACTTAAGAGACGACCATCTAGGGCACTGGCGACAAGAGAATGTTCCAAGGGAATGGCCGCCAAATTAAGTTCTCTAGCCAGAGCATGGTCCATCAGGTTAGCATCAGATCCAGAATCAATCAATACGGGCATTCTACAGGAACTAGAAGGAGAGGTGAGTGTAACGAGAGGTGTGGGACGAGAGGGGTTCACAGGACTGACATGGCTCCCCAGTGCCCCCCTCTTCACTGGCGAGCCCGAGCTTTTGCCGAGCATGTGGCTGAGAAATGACCAAACCCCCCACAGTAGTAGCAGCGCCCCTCCCTCATACGCTTCTCTCGTTCTTCGGGTGTCAAACGAGCGCATCCTAGCTGCATCGGCTCGTCCTCTCTAGGATACAGGGCAGGGGTTTCAGAGTTAGCTGCTCCCTGGACTGGTGAGAAACACGGCCCCCTATACTGTTGAGGAATCCTACGACACTTCTCGTGCTCCCGCTCTATTAGCCGCCTGTCAATCTTGATAGCCAGTGCTATGAGCTCATCCAGAGTCTCAGGTAGGTCAAGGGGGGCCAGCTGATCTTTCACATGGTCATTAAGTCCATTCAGAAATGCATCGAACAGTGCAGTTGGATTCCATCCACTCTCGGCAGCTAGAGTCCGGAATTGTATAGCATAATCAGTTACTCTCTGACCTCTCTGTCGCAGCTGAACAAGAGAACGAGCAGCCTCTCTACCCGGAGTAACATGGTGAAAAATCTGTGTCAAGGTTCTAATAAACCCCTGAAGTGAATCACAGACTGGAGAACGTCGACTCCACTCAGCAGTAGCCCAAGCCTCAGCTCTGCCAGTCAAATGGGAGATAATGTAGGCTATCCTAGCTCTATCGGTTTGAAAAACTGCTGGCTGCATCTCAAAATGGAGTTCACACTGAGTAATGAAGGCGCGACAGTCCCCAGAGTCCCCAGAGAATCTCTCTGGGCGAGACAACTGTATCTGAGCTAAAGGCATGGTAGGAGGATGGGCGTTACTCACAGGTGGTACCGGTGGAGCAGATGAAGCTGCGCTTACTGAGGCTGAGTCTGGGTTGGCTTGGCTGGGACTTAACCGTTCTGCCAACATGTTAAGTTGGCTTGTGAAGGCAGCTATCATGGACTCCTGTTGGTCCGCCATCCTCTGTAAGTCGCCACGTAGTTGTCCAAGTAGTTCCTCCTGTTTGTGGATTCTGTGACCTTGGGCTTGGATGGCAGATCGAACTGGATCCTGGGTAACAGGAGTGGAGTCTGAGCCCGCTGGGTTCATGTTGGTCAGATTGTGCTATCAGACTCAGCACAGGAGGCTATCAGACTCAGCACAGGAGACCCAACTGCGTTGCTCAGTTTCTTTTATTTTCATGGTCAGAAATCAGGATTGTTAACATAAAATTCCCACAGAGTCTGCACATGGACAAAGAACAAAAAGAAAGTCAGTCAAAACTGAAAAACATACCAGAACAAACTGATATGATTACCTGCACATGGACAAAGACAATCTGACAGAGACAATGGGGAAGATACAGGCTTATATACACAGAGGGGAGGGCAAGGACACAGGTGTCACACATCAGGGGCGAGGCAGGTAATCACATAGGTGGGGAAACAGGGAAGAGCAGGAAGGAAGTCTAACGAGAAACAAATTTCAAAATAAAACAGCTTTACATCACAGAATACAACTTAACCAGACATGACACCCGTATGACAGTATATGCAATGGCAGGTTGTGCTCAATGTGGACAGTGACTATTCAGAGTCTTTCAGAATACTTCTTTTTCATTTTTAATCCACAGTGACGCCTGCTGCGCTTCAGCTGCAACACCAGTGCCTGAACAGCGATGTCTCCCAGCGTGAGACGTCCAAACCCTCCGGCATTCTCCTCCCCTCCCGGAACCAAGGTCATTCAGCTAACTACACCGTCTCATCTCGCAGTGCAAAGGCTTTCTCGTTAGTGAACCAGCAGAGAGGACCATCGCAGAGGCGGTGATTCAGCAGTTTTCTCATGCCCTTCATTATTTGGTGTGAAGTTCTGTTCTCATCCTTGGTGTAGTTCCATGCTGCTTCTAATTACACCTGTGGAAAAATACACTGGTTCGCTTTATGGCTCTTCTCCTACTGCAGCCCCTTACTCCCACCTTTCTCCCTTTCAAACAGCACACGTATTTGGCATCTGTGGAAATTACACCTTAGATTGAGCAATGCTGGACTCCAATTTATAAAATGCATTCAAAAATCACACAGGAAACACGGTTGAAAGTTGATTTCTTTTGGCACACTCTTTATCAGAAAAAAACAAAAACCTTATTTGATGTTCATGATTTGGGGTAGGGTGTGAAAATGTATAAAGCTACACATGATTTTGTCTGTTCCTGTTTGTTCATGCCGCACATCACATAGAAAATATATAACACACAATATTAAATAAATAGGAAATTACAAAAGACTTTAATAAATTGTTATATATATCAGATTTTGTTTGTTTACCATTGTAAGAAATAAGAAGTCACAAACTAGGAATCTGATTTGACTCCAGGCGCAATCAAGTTGTAAGAGTAAAAACGTGTAGGCGTGCATACAAAAAACTTAATAAAATGTTTTAAAATTACTAATATGCAAAATAGAAAAATAGACATTTAGCAGTGCAGTTAAAGTGACAGTAGTTTAAGGTGGGGTCAGTGACGAGTTTATGAGTCTGACTGTGGAGGGGAAGAAACTGTTCTTATGTCAGGAGGTTCAACTTACCGCATGAATTTAAAACATGTTTAAATATTCTGAAGAACAAAGAGGAAAAGATCCGAGGCAATCTTTATACCCATAGGGACATGGAGATGCAACTTGACCCCTCTCAGGTCTTTATCACGGCAAATAGTATGGAAAAAGGTAGGTAGGTGGCCCAGTCGAGAGTCAGTCGTCATTATGGCCATTGCAGTAACCCATGGAACTGGCAGATACCCCGGTGTGCACCAGAGTATGTGTGTGAGTTTGTTTTTATGTCTTTTCTAAAAATACATTATGACTACTACTGCAGTTCCTGATTAAAACATGTCCACCAGCCCATCCATAGATACTTGACTTCTGGGTTTGATCAATATTTATTACAGATTTCTTAAGCTTAAATTAAATAAATAATTTGACTGCTCGGTTACAAGGGCTGAATTTTAAGACTTACATTTTACATTCCTTTTGAGGCAGCTGAAGTGTGTGCAGTTTTCTTCAAAGGCACTTACTTATATTGAGTAAAAATACTAAATGTAGCAAATTACACTTTTCATCTTTAATTGAATTTCTTTGCTTAAAAATTGTCAATTTTAGATAACTACCCCAGCACTGAACTACTTGCTCTGTGAAAATATGGCCTTGAGTTAATGCTGGATTCAATATTATAATGTTGCACACTTCTGTCTTTTTGCACAATCTGAGTGATTCTATCTATGCCAAATGTGACATGTACATTTCTCCAGTGTGAGATCAATAAAGTTTATCTTATCTTATATGGGCGGTACGGTGGCTGAGTGGATGGCACTCTCGCTTCTCAGCAAGAAGGTACTGGGTTTGAATCTCGGTCACAACAGGGCCTTTCTCAGTGGAGTTTGCATGTCCCCCCCGTGTCTGCATAGGTTTCCTCCGTGTGCTCCAGTTTCCCCTACCACTAAATACATGCTGGTGTTGGTCATATAGGCTTTGATGCGGCAGTGTCTTCGGCGTCCAGCTTCTGGCATTGCCGGATTGATTAGAACAATATCTGAACTTGGAACATTGTAAAACGCTTTGGGTGACTTTGGTCTGTAAAAATGTGCTATATAAATAAACATTACTTACTTACTTGTCTTATCTTAGAGTAGTACAAATCAATTTCAAATACTTTGAGATTACAAAGGCAACAATGTATTATGATTTTGATCTTTAAGTTTCCAGACCGTTTTCACATACATTTTAATGAGCCATTGTTGGGACTACGCCCAAAATATTCATTACGCATATCATCACGTTCGGTAATAATTTGTAGGAGCTTTATTTAGTTTTTATGGTGAGCCAACAGACAGAGAGCGATGACATCTTTCTGATACGCCTCCAGTTCAGGTAAATTTACTTATAAATCAAGTGACAGTGGTGATAAAATGTGTCCAAGGAGAGAAACCATTATTTTGAATCATAAAAGGTTTTCATTTGCATCTACTTGGACAATCTTTGATAGCTTCAACCAAACTTTCCCTGCGAGTTTTGGAACTGCAGTAAACTATAATAAACCCAATATTTTATAACAACACACATTTTTTTAATTAATGTTTTCATTGGCTTGCTGCAGTGCTGTGAGGCTGTTTGAAAATGTCGACCTGAGAGATTCTGAATATAGCATCACGATTCATATTTCAGCTGCCTTTGTATATCGGAGAGGCTTCTTCTGTACCTGTTCTTAAAACACAATTATTCACTTTGGCTTCTGACACGAGATGAATGAGTTTATCATATTTATTTAATCATATGTTTACTTACAGTCGCATTGCAGCACTTTGTTCTACTTGTTTTAATGAAAGCGTTTTAATAATAAAGTTACCATCATATTTATATAAGTTCCTTTTAATTGTTTTGCTTTTCACATATTATGAAACAAAAAACAACTTTGCAGCAATGTTGCCATAATTATTTATTAAATAATTTTATAATAATAAAATAACCTTAAAGAGACAGTATGTAATATATATTCCCCAGAGAGTGTCCCCAAAGGTCACATGCACAAATCATAGTTGGCCTCTTAATTGAAAATACAATTAAGCTTGACGGACATAATATTTATATTTACACTTTTCGAGACGAGTATCCAATCCCTGGAGAATGAAACTTGGATTTGGGTTTCCAGTTTTATAGGTGAAAAAAAGCTGGTTTTGGCTCTTTTTTTAATATGAAATAACATTTAAACTAAAACATGTTAAAAAAAAAAGTAGTCTAACATGTCACACTGTTAAAGAATGAGGAGCGCTTCATTGGGTGCTTTTTGTCAGCTGCTCATCAAGATCAGCAGTGAAAAATACTTGAGTAACATTTGAGAAAAGAGGAATTCTGAGGCACTTGACAGTACACTGTTGTGAAACCCCAGCAGGTGATTTGCATCAGTGGTCAGTGTTCAGGAGCTACATGTGCCACAGGCAGGAAGATAAGCCTTTATTGCCTTCAGATGGAGACACTGGTCTTGGTGCAAGAGAAACATCACTTATATAGACGAATACAGGATAACACATAGACACAAGGACAAACAAAAGAATAAGGGACATTGCACATAAACATCCACATGGGCTTTAGCACATTAAACTATTGCACATTTGTTACTGCACTGCTCCCAATGGCCTCACATAGTGTACATCTCCCCTACTTGCCTTGAAATAGTGCAGTTAATATTGCACTCCTCCTACAGCCTTATAAAGTTAATAATGCATTTCCCCAACATAGGCCAGTTAATAAAATGACCATTTAGTTAAATGCACTTTGTTTAACAACTTATTTTGGGGCATAATTGAAACAGATAAAGGAATAAATGAGAAACGTTTATCTATTTAATAATTGCTTGCTTGCAATCACGTGACGCATAAACTTCCGGTTGACGAAGTGGTGGTCAGGCCAGCAGGAGTTGCCGCTGATATATGAAGAAAATGCAACTCTTCTGAGTATTTTTTTTCTTTTTTGGATATTTCATGACACTTTGAAGCTACTGTGGTTAACGTTCTAACTCATCATACTAACAATATGCACAAGGCAGAATTTTTCCACAACATGTTTTGGTAAGGGTTAGGGTACCATGTAATGCTAACATGCTAATAATGCTAATAAGTTTCCATTCCTCCGCTGTATGTCACTTACATTCTGTAACGTCTTTGTTTATGCTGCCTCTACCATCGACAATAAAACATGTCTTCTGTCTGAATTAAAGACACAATCCTAGACTGTCATTTTCTTCACTTTAGATTCTAATCCACAGCTAGTGTTACAATCAAGCTTTTGCACTGCTAAACAACTGAAGGTTTGGATAAACATGGATACTGCAACTTTTCCGTCTGTGGGTTCAGGAACTCAGAGTTAAGGTCCTGAAGGACAAATCCTGCATCGTACAGAGCCGTGTAAGTAACGATTGGTATGAACCTGTCTAGGCTGCTCTCAATGTAACACAATCTAACGCTTGGAGAAACTCCAACGTCGAGCCATTAGGACCATACTACCGTACTCCTACACTCAACCAGTCGCTGATGATGACTACAAAGAACTAAAATTGACCACATTGAAACAAAGGAGAAACTTTGCTTCAAGCTACGGCTACAAGCTGCTGCATGGACTACTCCCAAAGGCACTCCAATCCCAGTGTCCAATCATCAAAAGGACCCAAATCCATACATGGAACAAAACACTGATCCATGTGGGCATAGAGCACCCAACAAGTCGAGCACTGGACCGCTCTCCCATCTTATTTGCTACTAAATTACTAAACAAATTTCCAAGACTGTGGGACTGTCCTTCTCTGGACTCTTTTAAAAATAAACTGTGGGACGTTGAGGAAAGGCAGATCTTTGATATAATGTTTTAAATACCCAGCCGTCAAAGCCTTCGGGCACAACGTTTTGAACACAAAGCTGTAATAAAAAATTTAAAAAAATAAAAAATAAATTAAATAAAAACTTGTCATTCTCAACAAAACAATGCGTCTGTGGCTGTGTTCTTTTCAGGTCAAACATTCAGTGTTTATTTAAAACGCAGACTCATACCTGAGTCTGCGTACAGTACAATGAATGAATTAAAGATGGGGATGTCATAACTGAGCATTGTGACTCCATGGCTGGGTAAATAAATAATCCTTCGATGTAAAAGCGTCTGCCAGTGAAATGTTAGCGAGCCAGTTTTCCTGCGTCTTTTCGTAATGTCCTTAGTGCAAGGCTCTTTATTCATCTCTTCACGAAGAATCCTAAAGTATCCATTAAAGGTTTCACGATTCGATCGGTTAGA